TCTTCCTACTACATCATCCACAGGATTAACTGGAAACCCTTCCGTCAAATAATCCGGTCCTCTGATTGGGAAGCCTTCTTTCTTTCCAAAAATGCATGCGCAGCCGTGGAGTAATTCTATCATCATGTTTAGCAAGCCATGACAATTGTTGCTGCACAAGAAAAACGCATCAGTGACGTTTAAGAAGATGCAGCCAAACGTTTTATCAGTCAGATATCCAGGGAATCAATCGCGCACTAAAAATGGACAGGATATTTTACAATGCTTCTACAGATGCACCGATTGATCTCTGACATCAATCACTTCCAATTGATGGGGAGAACACATGAAAAGCAAGCAACCCTACGAATGACATGTGAAACAAAAGAGCTGGTCAGATTTCCCCGTCGAAGAAGCAACAAACGCTTTTCATTGATCACCGAACTGGTGGACGACATCGAGACGCCATCTGGGAAGCATTTAGCTCCCTCTTCTCCACCTACGTGAACCTTTATACTTATGCCACTAATACACAAAGACTCTATCCAAAGTGCTATCGCTCTCCGCAATATCCACCAAGCAATACATTATATTCAACCGTCTTCCGTTCTGGAAGCTGATGGCATTCCCCATCCGCCACGAAACTGCAAAAGCCTTATATGTCACTGCTCCTTTTGTATGTGTTTGCCGTTTCACTGGGATCCAAGCGCTTTCCAGAACAATGAAAAACTTCATTCATCAGCCATCAAGACAACTGCTGCGCAAAACAGGATATAGGCAAGTACAGGCCAAGTCAGAATACTCCTGTAATGGTCGGGTTAATGGAGAAATTGGTAAAAAAAAGTATGTGAAAAATTTCATCGACTCACTGGAGTTGATACACTGGTCCTAACATGGTTTCCTTGAATAGACAGCGTGCACATTCTGGTAGCTACATTCATGTACATGTTAGCTAAATGTGAAAAACACCTCAGCTATTGTGCCGCATGGTAGCTACATTACCTCAACTACATACCATACTCCACTGACTCCAAATATGCCGTATTAATTCTATGCTTGGACAAGCAGCGGACGTTCGATCGGGTGCCTCACAAACGGTTACTGATTCTGATAGCTTTCTTTGAAGTCCGGCACACATTAGTGGGTTGGGTGTCATCATACATGAACGGTCACGCTGAAGTAGTCACCTTAAGCGACTAATGCTCTTACCCGCGTCCAATTGGCAGCGGGGTTAAATAAGGATGTGTGCTCGGTACATTAACTTTCCTTCTATGTATCAATGATATCAGTTTGGTTAACAAACATGACTTGCCGCCTTTTTATGCCGGTGATGGAAAAATTTTCCACAAGTACCGACGAGTTAAGCTTCTGAGGACAATCATTCACTTGAGATTTGGTGTGACTGGTGGATAATGACGTTTTTAGTAATAAAATTCAGGTATCATGTGTCGCGGTTGTTTGATAACCGAAGTGTCTGTCACACGTAACAGCGAACGCATCTGTGTATAACGGTCTACCAGTGACCTCTGAATCAGATATTCTTGTACCTTCAAGTTCTCTGAACAGATATCGCGAGCCAGACAATCCTTGGCTAACATATCTCATCACATGCATACAATCGCAGCTATAGTTAAACTATTTAAAATCTTTAATCGTCCCATCCTATAGTGTTGCAGTATAGTCCGTGGCAATATGAGGAAAGCAGACAGAACATCGGTCATTTACTAAGCTCGTATTGGGAAAACATTCTCTTACAGGCTCTCGGGAGCGATGACAGTAACTCCATCTCGATCCACTTTGGTTGTGAATACTAAATAATAACTTGAGACCGCTGCACAATCCGATTCATGGCAATACGCATTGCAACCGATTCACCTTAACATTGCAGCACAATTAAACGCGAGACCTAGGTAACGAAACCTTACCCTGATTACACCACGATGCAGGACAAATTTACGGTCTAACATTCGTCTCACCATATATGCATCTCTGTGGAATCGGCTGCCATTCACCATCAGGTCGTGTGAGATTGTGCACTCCTTTCGCAGTAAGTTGGGAGGCTACCTCGACCTGGACACCATTGTGTCGCCTTGTTCGTAGTAAATAGCACTTGGACATCCATGCAATGAAAGTCCAGATAACGTCTAATGGGTACAATACCACCATTTCACGCAATGTAATTAGCCATCAGTGTCTACAACATACACAAATTGCAAGTTTTCTTCCTACTATCGCATAAGACATACACATGGGGTAAATACGTTGCCAGTACTGCAGCCAATTTTAGGAGCATAACTTGATATTGCGCTTGCAGGATCATGACATCACCAGTGCGGGTATGTTCCGGGTCAAATAATGTCACCGCTTTTCCCTTGATGAGAAATATGCTCATTATTATTATTACTACTATTATTATTCTTATTATCGTCATGCGGCGTATTCGTTTGACCAGCGGCAATACTAACCTGCAGTCTAAATATGCCACTAGTACTGTGCCCCTTCGACTGGTCACACATTGTGTGCCTGATATGTTAAGGACCGCTCGGACAAACGTTGGACATTTTGCACATGAACACCGGCTAACGGCCATGTCAGAATACGAGCCATTGGCAAGGTTTTCAGACAAAAGATTTGTTAAATGGGTGCTGAGGGAGGACGCTCAAACACCTCATCCTAGCTTGATCAACTTCACTCAGGCGTGCTGTTTGTGACCTCTGGCGCTAACACCCACATCTCTGTCTGCCTTTCGTTAATACCGATGTGTCAACCTACCCGGGAGCATTCCTGTTCTCTAGGATTTGCGTGTGAACTTGGACGAACAGTTGATTTTGATTCTTTAATAAGCTAAATTATTAGCGCTATGCATGAAGTTGCCTATAAAATTGTATATAAATTCGTCGGTATTGATTATTTCGACATAGGATATCCTTTATGCCCTTTAGCCATTCTGGGTGAACAGTGACCTACTAGTCCTCTATGATCTGTGTTTGAACTGTACTGCCTCTTCAAATAATCTGACTTTATTTCCGCAAATGTATGTGAGACATCACGTCAAATTGTGAGCAGTCACAGTTTGGTGATCTCGTGACTGGTAAATTTGCAGCGGTTAGTTATCGACTTGCGTAATATGAAACCGTTCTCCATAGCTTAAACACTTGTCTGTTCCTGCTGCACAATGATATAACCGCGTTAAATGTAGTTAGCAAAGGCTTCGGCAGAAGTTGTATGAGAACGTAATGAGGGGTATAGAGTGAGCTAGAGCAGGGCTTCCCACGCTTCAGGTTGTATGCACAATCAAAAACCAGGGGGATTACGCTGAAATCTCTAGGTGTGTTCCTGGGTTTACTGATTTGAGTTTCAGAAACGATAAATATTTCACTGATGCTTAGGCCGTCTCCAGTTAACTGAGGCAAACCATCCGTGAGTGTCAACACCATCTTTATCGGTATTAAACTATATTAGCACCAGCTTCTTACAACATTGTTAAACCAAAGAATATCGAGCCAACTTGCTAACCATGTTGCCCGATCTTTTAACTTTCGAGACGGAAAGCTTCACATTAATGTACCATACTTTGAGTACAACTAAGACACTTCGGTTGAACCCGAGCCTTTCGCACCTCGGCGCTTTGGTAAACCAGAGGTGCATTTTACGCCTGTTATAAATCTGATAAGAAGCTCGCAAAAATGAGCGGCGGGACTGACAATGTAAAACTCACTTTAGGAAGGCATCACTAGCTGCTTCGCTCTCGGGGGTAAGCGGATCGGCAAACTACGCAGATTGAGGCCCATATATGACGAAGCTGGCGCTTCAAGCGGGGATGCACAAGATCACTTTTTAACAAAATTCCGACTGAGCGCTCTCTCAAAGTGGAGTCATGCACTCAAGTAGTGCAAAGCGCCTTTTGAGCATGCAATAATGGAGGCCTCCTTCGAAACGCGTTGTGCTATCAAACATGAGCAATGCAAGGAAATTTCGATAAGATCATGTAACTACGCCCCATACACTCTTCTGAATGTGCCGGTATGGAGTTTAAGTATGATGCTGTATAATTCAAATCCAGCTCAATCGGCCGTAATATGGGCGACTGACCTTCTATTGGTCGCCACAATTCCTTGTCTAGAAAACAGGTCCTTCACTTCCCTACTAAAGTCGGCGAAGCTTCAATGTTTGGACTTCACAGCCTAAGGTATTCTCTACAAGTATGATTAACTTCTACCAAATTAAGCAGCAAACGCTTGGGAGGTAATTCCCATAATCGAGGTCCAGTTGCCTCAGAATTTACCTATGTCGAGATGACACTTAATAGGATGCTCCTCTGCTGCATTATCAGAGGAGCTAACACAAATCTTTACGATTCCATATGCTCATTGCCTGCCTTGCGCAAGCGGTCATTTCAGATTTGCTCTTTTATGCTGGTGACTCTATGATTTGGTAAGCGATTTACTATCAAGATCATAAGCCTCTCCAACGTGACCAGGACAGCACTAGTAGATGGTTCTTCATGAAGCTACTCCACCAGTTCAATGTGTCAAAATGCACGGTTGCCTACATACGTTTGCGCACTAAATATCACCTACTTGCCGGGACACCATGCCCTGTAAAGGTCAAGGACAGGGAGCGAAGACGCCCGTCTTCTGCGACACTTTCGGCCGTTTCACTCCTTTCGTCCACCGACAGAAGCTTAATACCCGCGCACGTTCCCATATGTAATAAGCCACTTAGATCTCATAGTCTTGCTAAAATCAAAATCCCGCAACACTCGAGGTTCCACAATGAATAGCGATCAAAAGCTGCAATGGATTTATCCGTCTTTCTTATCATTTTAGGCTGATGACTTTAAGATTGTGCGTTGTCTAGTATCGGCAACTATGAATGTATACTAACCTACCGGGTTCCGAGGAACCGCAACCAAGTTGGCCATCATCTGTCGCAATTTAGGCACAATTGTTGGCTTAAGTCAGCCATGTGATATAACCCGCTACCATGCTGGGTGCAGAACCATGTCCTTAACCACTCACCTGAAACATAATGCCATAAAATCGTTCCACTTGATTTCTCCGACTGTCGTTGAACAGTGACCCTTCTGTGTTCTCCGAATGTTGAGACCTCAACCACTTCTCTGCGTCCTGATGCACACGCAGAATTGCACTCAACAACGGTTCGCAGTTCAGTAGTGCTCCAACGGTCGGGCTTGTGAATAAGAATTTTAGTGCTCCGCACAGAAACAACAGCGCTTCGTGTTGCGCTTCCAACCCATCGAGAGAGCCTGTTGTCGTCGCATTCGCAGACAGCTGAGTGCACTGCAGCGCGATGGAAAAAATGCCTGCCGATAGCGATAAAAATGACTGCCTTATGTACACTTCATAGCCAGCAGTGTATTTGAATGTAGACACAATAATTAATTTCCTTGTTAGTTTAAGATTCCAAACTTACGAAAGAACACCTGCTGAATGAACTGTTTGTCATCATCAGATTTATTTGGGGGATTACTGTGAAACATTATCGCAGTGTGCAGAAGACATCTATGCAGTCCCTTCGATTTCGTGTAGTTCAGTAGTTTCTCTTCACCTAAATCACTGGAAGACCACCGCAACAACAGGGAAACATTAAGTCTCAGTTTGTTTTATCGAAGCAATAACAGATAAACAGACTGTAGCGGATGCGAGTTTATTCGTGTTAATATCATGTATGTAGTAAAGAAGTTGACTTTTGTTTTTTTTTCAATTCCTTGTTCCACAACGTGACAAGTACGACTTAATTACTTAGGCAGAATGCCGGTTAAGAATGTGTGCTGCGTATCGTGTTGCTACCGTTGCATTGTAAGACCTGTGACGGAGTTCGCATTCATGAAGGAGAGTACAATGTGAGCTAATAATGATGAGATAATGGAGGTCGAGACGCCAGTTAATGACAGCCATCCTGATTTACATGCCCAAGATAGTGTGGGGTGAACCCGAACAGTTATTTTGAACCCAATGAATCCATTCAGTTCATGTCCGGCCCGTAACGATGTCACAAAGTTATGCATATTGGTCAAACAAATGCTACAATTGGTGTTGACTGGATAAGAGCAGAAAAGTTGATCGGGGAGCTGACCCTGATCGCAAAATCTGACATCTCTAGGTAATCGACGCGTACGTAGGCGATCATGGTTCTAGTTATTAGTACCAGGTACTCTGGGTTTAGTTGCACGATCGGTACTAAAGTAGAAGTGAAGTCAGTGTCCGAATTCAAGACATTACTGGACAAACACTTGGCCGATATGAGATATCGGGAATGTTCTCCGACCAATAAGTCATTGTATCTGGGAGATTTTAGATGTAGCTATGCAGAGACATCTTTTGTTGCTTCTTACACCCAGGTGTAGGTGTGTATTGCATCAACAGCGGTGGGCCGTATCACAGTGTAATCCATAAGTAATCTACGATTGTGCGAGAAATAAATGCTGGCCTTACTTTAGCACCTGTTCTGTTGTTGATGATTACTGGACGGAAGCAGTAGGCAAGGCTGGCTTTGTGCAGCTGCATCTAAAATTCCTCAGATTTTATGACTTATTACGTTAGAACATTTTAAATGTCTGTAGGGTGTTGGTACAGGAATTTCTCAAATTCGGACATCAGTTTTACTTGGACTAGGTGATGAGGTAAGTTGTTCCATCTAATCACCAATCGCCGTTCAAAGCAGAGTTGGTGAACGACCCGCTTCAAACCCTGTGCTTCAATCGTGTACCGATGTACTCTTGTGCTGCCTGGTGTGTGCATACGATGCAGCGGTCTCAACATGAGGTAATTCACATGAGGTACTATCCGGTGCGTTACGATCAGAAGAACCAGCAATAAGCGATACGACAGAGTGTAAAGTTCTAGCCTCTTGCACCGGTCTTCGTACGATACCTTGTAAACTGGAGATGAGACTGGTGGCCACATGTCATACTTGCTCACTCCTTTATAACTCGTCCTAAGTGATAGGGCAGTATGCGGCTGAGCCGTGCTGTAGCGTTGATCGTATGACTGAAACGAAGAAACGAGTGAGAATCTCCGCAGAACAAGTGTAGAAACTGCGCTTGAGCGCCCAAAGCATATGAAGGAGGTTTTGGCAAAGCCTATTCATGTCGTGTCGTATCTTGACAGTACACCGAGGTCTTTCACGAAAGGTGTGCGAAGCAACGGTTTGTCTGCCACAGTATAAATTCGACTTTGTCCATCATTACCAAGGCTCATGAATAGCGACTTGACCTGGTTTATCGTAAGGTTGACCCCTGCAGACCATGTGGAGAGGCGGTCAATCGCACGCTGAAGCAGGTCACAGTCGTTGGGCGCTACAGATTATCATGCACGCCTTCAAATCACCTGCAAATAATGTGCAGAACGAACGAAGAAGCTGAAGAGCCTCGTTTATATGAATCAGAAATGGAATGGTCCAAACTACCTTTCCCTGTGGGACGTCAATGGTCCATGGATGCCAGTTGGTCAGATGGCTGTCAACCTGGACCGTCCACTTTTGACCAAAAAGGAGATACCTGATCCATCGTTACAACGAGCCGCCAGCACCACACAACCGTAGCCTGCGGAGAATGCCCTCATGCTTCATCTTATCAAACACCTTACTGAACTCAAGATAAATGACGTCCACCGACTTCACTTGGTTCAGCGCTTTCAACCATTCGTGCCTCGACAACAACAGGTTGATGTCAAGAGAAGCTGCAGAGACCATTTTTCCCAACCTTCTAAAATGTCATAGCGAAAACAGCAGTCAGACAGATCGACCGGTATTTGTCCACTTCGCTTGGGTCACCACCTTTCGGTATTGGGCTTACGACTGAGCATTTGCAGTTACCCGGTAATGAAACAGTGGATAGCAACCTGTTGAACAGCTCAGTCACGGAAGGCGAGATGCTGGCCGATAATAATTTGAGGATCAGTTTGTGGATTACAGCAAGCCCGGCAAACTTGGTCCCGTCAAGACTGGTCAGCAGCTTGTGTACACCTTCAAGTCTGGAACGCCGTCTGTCTAGTTCTGTAGGGGCGGCATCGGTTGAACTCGGTACGAACACCTGCTCACCCGCTAATAAGGAAAAGAAGTGCGCCGCCGACGCGGATCCACGAGCTGTGCTCAAGATTAAGGGCTGTCCATCCGAGCCCTCCAAAACTGGCACATTGCCTGCATGCTAAGCGCCGCTTCACGAAGGCAAATATCCTCTCAGGAGCAACTTTTGCAGTAGCTTCAAGCTGTTCTTTGAAGTTTCAGTGACTTTGTGTCTTCGCGTTATTGCAGAGACTTTGCACTCTTGCTCGTACGCCTTATAATCGTTAGAGCCAGATATGATGGATTTATCCCATAGTCTACGTCGCAATTGTGCCAGTTTGTTGCACTCCTTCTCGAAGCAGTGTGGCTTAACTGGTCATATCATTTGATACTTGAAAGGTACGAAACCGGCGCATGACGGTTTTACTTCCTTGTTAATAATAGATCAACTTGCTTCAATATATGAATTCCTCGGTAACGACTAGTCCACCCGACTCACGTCGTAAGCGAGGAGATTAAAGTCCACCTTCCAGCTGCGAGGAATGCGGTAGGGACAGCTCAAATTTGGCTATGCTTACTGAGTGATCATTCGTTCCCGAAGGCCCTAAAACCTGCATGTCGCACATGTTGCTCCAATCTAGCTAATTGTAATCGTAACTTGTAGGTTGGTTTGCTTTCATCATTGTTTTATTTGATGTGCGCGCGGTCATTTTCGCAAAAACATGCTCTACCACAAGACCAACTACCTGTTTTGTTCGGTGACCGGAAGAAACCGTACGCGGAAAAAAACGTACATGAAATTTATGTACAGCAGAAAGCGTATACAAAAGGTGCGTACATTGGGAATTGCGTACACTTAAAAATGCATACAATGAAAATTTCATTCTCAGAGAATGGCGCACACGATATACGGCGAACAGCGAAATACACCTGTTAGATTGCTTTGCATATAAACGACTGCGCAGCGTGCCAAATCCCCCATGACCCATTCCGAGTACTCAACAGACAGAACACTGCTCGCCTACTCTAGGTTGCCATTCGGTGGCTCTAGCGTACTTGGTGTGGCCAGATCGAGTAGGTGGTTAGTCCAGCCTTTGCTTGATGAGGTTGGTGACCGGGTTAGATAAACGATAGCCATTTTCTCACAATGGTATTGCACCTGGAAGGATACCCACATCGTAAAGTACCCACCCAGAAAATCGCTTGGACGAAAATTTTTAGCAGCCTACAGATGTACCCGGTTTGCTTCAGTACAAGGTGTACAATTGGACTCAGTTCTTCCGTTGCACAATTAGACGACCGAGGAGAAAAGTGGACTGTCAGTTTGCTACATTTTATTAAACCAACAAGCGCCCACAGTCGGATCCTTCGCACAACTGCGACACGCCCAGCCATTCCAACTGCCCCAACCTGCACGGTTCACCGGTGTCACTACATAGGGCAACTGTATGCGTACACTAAAGGCATGTCCCTTCATGATTCCGTTCCTCTGCACTGATATTTGGGCCTGACGTTATAAGGTGTTCACGAACTTGGTCTAGTCAAGCCAAGTGCGTTAGACACCGAATCGATGAGGTTTCGGCAAACTACAGTAGGTGAGCAGCGTTCTGTCTGTTGCGTATTCTGAATGAGTTATGGGGGATTTGGCAAGGTGGGCAGTAGTTTAAATACAAAGCTATCGAACTGGTGTATTTCGCTGTTCGCCGTATATGGTGTGCGCCATTCTCCGAGGGTAAACTTTTATTTGTAAGCATTTTTCTGTGTACCCACTTTTCTGCGTACCCAACTTTCCGTGTACGCTATTTTCCGTGCACGCTTTTTTCGTGTTCGCTTTCATCATGGAACCGTTTTGCTCCACCCTTGTTTAACTTCCGTATCCTTGGTAATCCCCATCTTCTGCCGGGTTTCCAACAACGTGGCGCCTGGAGTGACAGTTACAACCGTGTGAATGAGCAGTTCAAGCGTCCGTGTGTTACTCAAGTATGAAGATAGTACCTTTTTATCCCCCCGTTCCCAGTTCTAGGTGGTCGATCTCACTGTCTTGACGCTCGCGCAGATATGATCATAGATCGTCCTTAATCGCGCAATAAAAACCCACACCATATATATAATTTGCCTCGTCGCTACTTGCTTACAGGACTCCAGCACAGTGCTACGGCTGACGTTACCAGCATCGTGTTCCCACTGTGCATTCACACGGTGCTTTTCCAGAGACGCAAGTGCTGGAACCGAGGACCTAGCTGATGTGGTAGTTACGCTTAGTACGCGCGCTGAAGCAAAGCCATTTAATCATACTCC